AAAAAAAAGCAAGTAGTAAGCAAGTAATTTGCTAACAATTATACTAGATATAAGTTAAGCTTTTTTTAAAAAAAATCACAGAATTGCAGATATTGAGCCCCATATCTTAGGCTCTGCTACAAGACAAAGTCAGACTTTTTTCTGGTCTGCACTGGCCTTTTAACCTTTATTACTTCTAGAGGGTGGTGAAGGGATGGAGAGGGTGAAGGTGTAAACTGAAGGAGTGGGGGATTTACTATCTAAATTCCTGAAGATCTACAGGGTAGTAGTGTTCATTCACACAACTCACATATACTAGTGCATAAGCACCTAGTCCAGAGCCTATCACAGAAGGAGCACATAATGAATGAAAATGGTAACTGATTCTGTATAAGCCATGGTAGGTAAGACAAAAATAGCCTCTGTCCTCAAATTCTCAGTCTAAGGAAGATTATGTGCGCAGTTTTTTTTCCACTGCAATGCAAAGGCAGTACAAAATAAGTTAAAAATCAAGTCATATAAATAAAAGATGAATAATGAGAGATCCCCTAGAAATAGCCAGCCAGTGTCCAAAGGACAGCTGCCTCAAAAACTCTGTTGTGGAATGTTTAAGGGGAGTATGGTGGACCCTGCATATTGTCACTTGACACGTGTGAGTTTAATGGAACCATATTCTAGCAAATTTTAGCACATCTAATTTGGTAAATATACTTTAAGCATCATGTAAGGAATGCTTTTGTATTGTTGCTTATACAGGAATATGCCAATTTACAAGTGAGTGAGCCCCAAATCCGAGAGGGCATGAAGAGGGTAGAACCACAGACCGAGGATGACCTCTTTCCTTGCACATGCCACAGGAAAAAGGTAACCAGAACTAGCCAATGTCAGAGTAACAACTAACTTTGATCCAAGTCTTTATTCAGTCAGGCAATAATAATTTGCGTTTCTCCTGCAGCCTCCAAGCAATTTATTCTACCAGAGAGATAGATATAATAGATAATAACAAGGCAAAAGAAAGGGTGCTGAGATACAGTTGAGTGAGAAGATATAGGAGCTCCCAGCAAAGTAGACGGAGGTCTTTATTTAATGTGAGAATTCACATCATATGGCATTTGAATTTAGAGATAAAAAAATATATAACCATGATTATTCATCTTAGCAAATTATTCATGAAAAGCAATCACTGTTGGTACCACCACATACTGATTTTGTTTATAAAAGGCAGATTCAGCCCTAGCTGGTTTGGCTCAGTGGATAGAGAGTCAGCCTGAGAACTGAAAGGTCCCAAGTTTGATTCCAGTCAAGGGCAGATGCCAGGGTTGCAAGCTCGTCCCTAGTAGGGGGCGGTGTGCAGGAGGCAGCCAATCAATGATTCTCTCTCATCATTGATGTTTCTATCTCTCTCTCCCTCTCCCTTCCTCTCTGAAATCAATAAAAAATTTTTTTTTTATTGTTGCTTTTACAGGAAGGAAAAAAAAGGCAGATTCACATAGGGACTTGTCAGGCTAAAAAGGACCTCAGAGGTCACCCAGTAAATGCTTTCATTTAGTGATTAACCAAACTGATCCCAAAGAAGAAGTTAGTTCAGAATCTGCTAGCTGCATTACAGGAAAGCAAGGACCAAAAAAGTAGTCTCTCATCTTCAAATTGTGTGCATGGTTGTGTATAAAGACAGTGTGGTAGGGGAGGGTTGTTTTGATTATAGTTTTTTGTTTGTTTGAAGGAATGTATATTGTATAAAATTCTGATTTATATCTATAATATAATATATATTGACATTTTTAAGCAACATCATATTAATAGAGTTTTTGTTGTATTGGTTTTGTTTTGAGAACTTATTTGCTACCGAATAGCCCTTGAAAGTGGTATATCATCTACCAATGTTAACTCTTGTCAATGCTGAAAAACCATAAAATTAGTTAAAGCCAGAGACAAAACCAATTGCCAGAAATGAAAGGTACCCTTTCACAAAGTTAGTGATTTGGTGTCAGAACACTTTGTGGACTCCAAATGAAACTGGGCAGCTTCCTCTCTCACTCCTTTTTTTTATTTTTTTATATCTCACAAAGTTAGTGATTTGGTGTCAAAACACTTCGTGGACTCCAAATGAAACTGGGCAGCTTCCTCTCTCCGCTCCCTTTTTTTATTTTTTTATATTTGTCTAAGTGTACTAAGGGCTGTCAAATGATTCTACTTATTTGTAGAAGTTAGGGGGCCTGGAATGACAGCTTTGTTTATTTCTTCTTCATTGTGTACCATACCCTGTCACTGGCCATTCATAACGCAAGGCCCTTTACAGTTATATACACCCTTACATGTTTGGGTGCTGCATCAGTAGTCCTATGAAACTCTACCTGTGGGTGATTCCAAAAACAGTTCTAGACCCTCTAAGTCTATAGCAGTAACTTGGCTTTTTTTTTCCTTCTTTCATCTTTAAGGGAAAACAATTAATAGACTAATATAAGTCTTCCAAACTCATGTATGACTTCTTGATGGCTCTAAATATTTTGCTTCTTCATTTCAGACCAAAGATGAACTCTGATATGCAGAATACCTTCCCTTCAAATAATGGTGCTCTGAAGACTCTTCTTAACTGAAAAGAAGAATGTTTTTTTAAAATATTAATTCTATGGACAATATAAAATCTGCTTTGTGATTGTCTGGGTCATGAAGATCTATTTCTTCTTATTATGCAGTATTCCCATGACTGTCTTTTAAAGCACATTTTTAGAATTTTATAATAAAACCACTTTTATTTTAAAGGCCTGTGATATGCTAGTTATTAACTGTGTTTGGATCAGTAAAAAGAGGGGGAGTCTGGGTCCTGGACTCAGTGTGGAACATCACAGCAGC